ACCGTCATTGATGGATTTTTGAATAATTGAAAATGTTACTGTAAATAGTTTAACTACCGATATTTTGAATTTTAAATGTGCGTATAAAATAATTTTTTGCCGGCTCGCACGGCCTCAAATTAGGGTTTACTTCATAGTAAAATTTCTATAATTTTTCATAGAAATTAAAAATCTAAAAATTCTAATTCTATAACTCAACTACTATTACAAATAAGCTTTAACAATATACTTCTAATACCAAGAAAATCTTGATTATATTTGCCAGAAACGTCGAAAAATAAAATTTCTGACATTGCTTGCTTCTAGTAAATTTAATCAATTTTAGATAGTCGGAATTCGAATAAACTAATAAAGAGAGGTAACATTTCGATGAATAAAATATGGGGGCGCAGACCATCTTTTTTCCAGAGTTATTTTAATTGACTAGAATTTCAATTAATGGCAATGATAGAGTATCAACTACACATCACTCTGGTAATATCGACACCTTCAAAAATAAAGAAATTTGTCCGATATATCCAGATGTCAGTTTAACCAGAGAATTCTCATATTAAGCATATAGATTCAAATTTTAAAAAATGTCGTTATAACAAGCTTTCAGTAATCAGAGTGATGTGTATACTTTTATTCATATGATAAACTCAAACTTGATCCTATAAATTGTCAATCATTTCTTTTTTTAACCAATAAAATAAGCTTCCCATTATGCTTATCGTTATTACTTGATTTCTGTACTTGAGAGAAATTCTGCTTTTTCGCCAGTAGGTGATTGATTTTGTTATTAGAAAGAATAATATAACAAATTTTAATTCTAAATGGAATTCATAATTTAATCACTTAAAATAGGTATTGCAATTTCGTCATGCGACGTCCCCAGATAATTATCACAGGTCAAAAAAAAAAAGAAAAAAATAGGCATGCAATTAGTGAATTGATTAATCTGAACATAGATTGTTCTTCGAAAGCCCAAAAACTATCTCAAAGAGCTTCTGAAAAAATGCCATCTCATAAATTCTTCGAAAGGATATTACCTCATCCCAAGAAACTCTTGTACAAACGGACTCAACATGAATCTGAAAATTTAATCATAGATCTGGAAACTTTGAATGATGGGAAATATCCACCAGAAGTAACAGTAGGTCTTATTGTACAGTATTACGGATATAGTGATGATTATAGAAAAGATGTTAAGCAAGCAACATTCTATGGTTACTTTCATATTCACACTGGTTAGCCAACAAAACGGGCGTTAGATGACCCCTGTTCACAATATGATGAAATTTCTAAAGCTACCAATATAAGGTTATACAAACTGGTATTTTTGGTTCTCATAACCAAAATTTGCAAATCTTTGAAGAAAATTTTTAACTATATATACTATCCAGTTGGTTTTTTTCAAAAACC